TTTTTTTATTTATTTTTTTTGGGGGGGGGGGGGGGGGGGGGTAGAAGGATTACTTTATCCTATCCCAGGTGTTCCTTAAAGAGGTGGGGTTTCAAATGTCTCCGGAAGGTGGTGAGTGACTCCGCTGTCCTGGCGTCGTGAGGGAGCTTGTTCCACCATTGGGGTGCCAGAGCAGCGAACAGTTTTGACTGGGCTGAGCGGGAACTATGCTTCCGCAGAGGAAGGGGAGCCAGCAGGCCAGAGGTGGATGAACGCAATGCCCTCGTTTGGGTGTAGGGACTGATCAGAGCCTGAAGGTACGGAGGTGCCGTTCCCCTCACTGCTCCATAGGCAAGCACCATGGTCTTGTAACGAATGCGAGCTTCAACTGGAAGCCAGTGGAGTGTGCGGAGGAGGGGGGTGACGTGAGAGAACTTGGGAAGGTTGAACACCAGACGGGCTGCGGCATTCTGGATGAGTTGTAGGGGTTTAATGGCACAGGCAGGGAGCCCAGCCAACAGCGAGTTGCAGTAATCCAGACGGGAGATGACAAGTGCCTGGATTAGGACCTGTGCCGCTTCCTGTGTAAGGCAGGGTCGTACTCTCCGAATGTTGTAGAGCATGAACCTGCAGGATCGGGTCACCGCCTTGATGTTAGCGGAGAACGACAGGGTGTTGTCCAGGGTCACGCCAAGGCTCTTCGCACTCTGGGAGGAGGACACAACGGAGTTGTCAACCGTGATGGCGAGATCATGGAACGGGCAGTCCTTCCCCGGGAGGAAGAGCAGCTCCGTCTTGCCAGGGTTCAGCTTGAGGTGGTGATCCGTCATCCATACTGATATGTCGGCCAGACATGCAGAGATGCGATTCGCCACCTGGTTATCAGAAGGGGGAAAGGAGAAGATTAGTTGTGTATCGTCAGCGTAGCAATGATAGGAGAGGCCATGTGAGGATATGACAGAGCCAAGTGACTTGGTGTATAGGGAGAATAGGAGAGGGCCTAGAACTGAGCCCTGGGGGACACCAGTGGTGAGAGCACGTGGTGCGGAGACAGCTTCTCGCCACGCCACTTGGTAGGAGCGACCGGTCAGGTAGGACGCAATCCATAACAAAGACATAACCTACAGAGAGATGAACCTGGAGAAGAGTCCCCTAAGCAAGCTGGTCCTGGGGCTCTTTTCACAAACACAAACAGACCCCACAGAGCCCCAGGACAGCAACACAATTAGACCCAACCAAATCATGAGAAAACAAAAAGATAATTGCTTGACACATTGGAAAGAATCAACAAAAAACTAAGCAAACTAGAATGCTATTTGGCCCTAAACAGAGAGTACACAGTGGCAGAATACCTGACCACTGTGACTGACCCAAAATTAAGGGAATCTTTGACTATGTACAGACTCAGTGAGCATAGCCTTGCTATTGAGAAAGGCCGCCGAAGGCAGACCTGGCTCTCAACAGAAGGCAGGCTATGTGCACACTGCCTACAAAATGAGGTGGAAACTGAGCTGCACTTCCTAACCTCCTGCTAAATGTATGACCATATTAGAGACACATATTTTCCTCAGATTACACAGACCCACAAAGATTTCAAAAATAAATCCAATTTTGATAAACTCCCATATCTATTGGGTGAAATACCACAGTGTGCAATCACAGCAGCAAGATTTGTGACCTGTTGCCACAAGAAAAGGCAACCAGTGAAGAACAAACACCATTGTACATACAACCTATATTTATGTGTATTTATTTTCCCTTTTGTACATTAACTATTTGCACATCATTACAACACTGTATATATACAGTGGGGGAAAAAACTATTTAGTCAGCCACCAATTGTGCAAGTTCTCCCACTTAAAAAGATGAGAGAGGCCTGTAATTTTCATCATAGGTACACGTCAACTATGACAGACAAAAAAAAATCCAGAAAATCACATTGTAGGATTTTTTATGAATTTATTTGCAAATTATGGTGGAAAATAAGTATTTGGTCACCTACAAACAAGCAAGATTTCTGGCTCTCACAGACCTGTAACTTCTTCTTTAAGAGGCTCCTCTGTCCTCCACTCGTTACCTGTATTAATGGCACCTGTTTGAACTTGTTATCAGTATAAAAGACACCTGTCCACAACCTCAAACAGTCACACTCCAAACTCCACTATGGCCAAGACCAAAGAGCTGTCAAAGGACACCAGAAACAAAATTGTAGACCTGCACCAGGCTGGGAAGACTGAATCTGCAATAGGTAAGCAGCTTGGTTTGAAGAAATCAACTATGGGAGCAATTATTAGGAAATGGAAGACATACAAGACCACTGATAATCTCCCTCGATCTGGGGCTCCACGCAAGATCTCACCCCGTGGGGTCAAAATGATCACAAGAACGGTGAGCAAAAATCCCAGAACCACACGGGGGGACCTAGTGAATGACCTGCAGAGAGCTGGGACCAAAGTAACAAAGCCTACCATCAGTAACACACTACGCCGCCAGGGACTCAAATCCTGCAGTGGCAGACGTGTCCCCCTGCTTAAGCCAGTACATGTCCAGGCCCGTCTGAAGTTTGCTAGAGTGCATTTGGATGATCAAGAAGAGGATTGGGAGAATGTCATATGGTCAGATGAAACCAAAATAGAACTTTTTGGTAAAAACTCAACTCGTCGTGTTTGGAGGACAAAAAATGCTGAGTTGCATCCAAAGAACACCATACCTACTGTGAAGCATGGGGGTGGAAACATCATGCTTTGGGGCTGTTTTTCTGCAAAGGGACCAGGACGACTGATCCGTGTAAAGGAAAGAATGAATGGGGCCATGTATCGTGAGATTTTGAGTGAAAACCTCCTTCCATCAGCAAGGGCATTGAAGATGAAACGTGGCTGGGTCTTTCAGCATGACAATGATCCCAAACACACCGCCAGGGCAACGAAGGAGTGGCTTCGTAAGAAGCATTTCAAGGTCCTGGAGTGGCCTAGCCAGTCTCCAGATCTCAACCCCATAGAAAATCTTTGGAGGGAGTTGAAAGTCTGTGTTGCCCAGCGACAGCCCCAAAACATCACTGCTCTAGAGGAGATCTGCATGGAGGAATGGGCCAAAATACCAGCAACAGTGTGTGAAAACCTTGTGAAGACTTACAGAAAACGTTTGACCTGTGTCATTGCCAACAAAGGGTATATAACAAAGTATTGAGAAACTTTTGTTATTGACCAAATACTTATTTTCCACCATAATTTGCAAATAAATTCATAAAAAATCATACAATGTGATTTTCTGGAATTTTCTTTTCTCATTTTGTCTGTCATAGTTGACGTGTACCTTTGATGAAAATTACAGGCCTCTTTCATCTTTTTAAGTGGGAGAACTTGCACAATTGGTGGCTGACTAAATACTTTTTTCCCCACTGTACATAATATGACATTTGAAATGTCTTTATTCTTTTGGAACTTCTGAGTGTAATGTTTACTGTTAATATTTATTGTTTATTTCACTTTTGTTTATTATCTACTTCACTTGCTTTGGCAATGTTAACATACGTTTCCCATGCCAATAAAGCCCTTTGAATGGTATTGAATTGAGAGAGAGAGAGAGAGAGAGAGAGAGAGAGAGAGAGAGTGAGGGGGGGGGAGTAGGGTTATCTTTTTGTGAATCAGAAGCAATATTTGTTTTCAAAATCTCAAAATATTCATTACTAACACTATGCCATTAACAATGGACGAGACATCAGCCAATATTATGACCATTTCTATTGCAGGCAAGTTCAGAGGACGTAGAAGTCAGGAGGTTATCGTTTGTGAATCAGAAGCAATATTTGTTTTCAAAATCTCAAAACATTCATTACTAACACTATGCCATTAACAATGGACGAGAGATCAGCCAATATTATGACCATTTTTATTGCAGGCAAGTTCAGAGGACGTAGAAGTCAAGAGGTGAGATTGTACTCTACCTAACAGAGATAATGTCTCTGTCTGTATCACCCACCAAGCTCATGAGACTGTATTCCTTTGAGGAGAACGGCTGCATCTGAAATGGAACCCTATTCCCTATATAGAGTCATCTCTTCTAGTCTAGACCAGCGGTTCCCAACCTTTTCCGTTCCGGGTGCCACCAAATCACTGTCAAAGGCTCTTGAGGACAACCATTCGACACCATTTTAAACATAAAATATTTTGCCGGTCAAATTTTGAGTCAAATTTTATCAGTGAATGCAAAGATTAAAGGCGTATTATTACTATAAACGATTTGCATTGTGAAAAGTAATGTAAAATTGCTTACAATACCATTAATACTCCCAACTGTCATTATATATATAAAATAAATCCACTGATATATAGCGGACCACCTTGGCCTTTTGACCAGGGCTCTAATTACAGGACATGGTCCCATTCATTTTGGGAAATATTGTTAACACACAGCATTTTATCACCATGTGAGGAGGAATGGGAAAAACCTTCACACGACAGGTGGATGGATCCATACGTCAATCAAAAAGACTCCTCAAAACAAGATATATTAAAGATGCAAGAGAGATACAATTAGCTTTTTAATTAACACATATAGCCTATTGGTAATTGGAAATAGTATAATGTATTTTAATTAACACATATAGCCTATTGGTAATTGGAAATAGTATAATGTATTTTAATTAACACATATAGCCTATTGGTAATTGGAAATAGTATAATGTATTTTAATTAACACATATAGCCTATTGGTAATTGGAAATAGTATAATGTATTTTAATTAACACATATAGCCTATTGGTAATTGGAAATAGTATAATGTATTTTAATGAACACATATAGCCTATTGGTAATTGGAAATAGTATAATGTATTTTAATTAACACATATAGCCTATTGGTAATTGGAAATAGTATAATGTATTTTAATTAACACATATAGCCTATTGGTAATTGGAAATAGTATAATGTATTTTAATTAACACATATAGCCTATTGGTAATTGGAAATAGTATAATGTATTTTAATTAGCACAAATCGTAATATGTTGCTGACATTTCAGAATGGATTATCCCAAAAAATATGCGCGCACTACACAGGTAAAGTAGAGCATGAGATATGCGCACACTGAGCCACACTTTTTAGAACACCTCAGGTAAGTAGTGCTCTTTAGAACACCTCACGTAAGTAGTGCTCTTTAGAACACCACAGGTATGTAGTGCTCTTTAGAACACATCAGGTAAGTAGTGCTCTTTAGAACACCTCAGGTAAGTAGTGCTCTTTAGAACACCACAGGTAAGTAGTGCTCTTTAGAACACCTCAGGTAAGTAGTGCTCTCTAGAACACCTCAGGTAAGTAGTGCTCTTTAGAACACCTCAGGTAAGTAGTGCTCTCTAGAACACCTCATGTAAGTAGTGCTCTTTAGAACACCTCAGGTAAGTAGTGCTCTATAGAACACCTCAGGTAAGTAGTGCTCTCTAGAACACCTCAGGTAAGTAGTGCTCTCTAGAACACCTCACGGAAGTAGTGCTCTCTAGAACACCTCATGTAAGTAGTGCTCTTTAGAACACCTCAGGTAAGTAGTGCTCTCTAGAACACCTCAGGTAAGTAGTGCTCTTTAGAACACCTCAGGTAAGTAGTGCTCTTTAGAACACCTCAGGTAAGTAGTGCTCTCTAGAACACCTCAGGTAAGTAGTGCTCTCTAGAACACCTCACGGAGGTAGTGCTCTCTAGAACACCTCAGGTAAGTAGTGCTCTTTAGAACACCTCAGGTAAGTAGTGCTCCTTAGAACACCTCAGGTAAGTATTGCTCTTTGGAACACCTCAGGTAAGTAGTGCTCTTTGGAACATCTCATGTAAGTAGTGCTCTTTGGAACACATCAGGTAAGTAGTGCTCTTTAGAACACCTCAGGTAAGTAGTGCTCTTTGGAACACATCAGGTAAGTAGTGCTCTTTAGAACACCTCAGGTAAGTAGTGCTCTCTAGAACACCTCAGGTAAGTAGTGCTCTCTAGAACACCTCAGGTAAGTAGTGCTCTCTAGAACACCTCAGGTAAGTAGTGCTCTTTAGAACACCTCAGGTAAGTAGTGCTCTTTAGAACACCTCAGGTAAGTAGTGCTCTTTAGAACACCTCAGGTAAGTAGTGCTCTTTAGAACACCTCGGGTAAGTAGTGCTCTTTAGAACACCTCAGGTAAGTAGTGCTCTTTAGAACACCTCAGGTAAGTAGTGCTCTCTAGAACACCTCAGGTAAGTAGTGCTCTTTAGAACACCTCAGGTAAGTAGTGCTCTTTAGAACACCTCAGGTAAGTAGTGCTCTTTAGAACACCTCAGGTAAGTAGTGCTCTTTAGAACACCTCAGGTAAGTAGTGCTCTCTAGAACACCTCAGGTAAGTAGTGCTCTCTAGAACACCTCAGGTAAGTAGTGCTCTCTAGAACACCTCAGGTAAGTAGTGCTCTTTAGAACACCTCAGGTAAGTAGTGCTCTTTAGAACACCTCAGGTAAGTAGTGCTCTTTAGAACACATCAGGTAAGTAGTGCTCTCTAGAACACATCAGGTAAGTAGTGCTCTTTAGAACACCTCAGGTAAGTAGTGCTCTTTAGAACACCTCAGGTAAGTAGTGCTCTTTAGAACACCTCAGGTAAGTAGTGCTCTCTAGAACACCTCAGGTAAGTAGTGCTCGTTAGAACACCTCAGGTAAGTAGTGCTCTTTAGAACACCTCAGGTAAGTAGTGCTCTTTAGAACACCTCAGGTAAGTAGTGCTCTCTAGAACACCTCATGTAAGTAGTGCTCTTTAGAACACCTCACGTAAGTAGTGCTCTCTAGAACACCTCAGGTAAGTAGTGCTCTTTAGAACACCTCAGGTAAGTAGTGCTCTTTAGAACACCTCATGTAAGTAGTGCTCTTTAGAACACCTCACGTAAGTAGTGCTCTTTAGAACAACTCACGTAAGTAGTGCTCTCTAGAACACCTCAGGTAAGTAGTGCTCTTTAGAATACCTCATGTAAGTAGTGCTCTTTAGAACACCTCACGTAAGTAGTGCTCTCTAGAACACCTCAGGTAAGTAGTGCTCTTTAGAACACCTCAGGTAAGTAGTGCTCTTTAGAACACCTCATGTAAGTAGTGCTCTTTAGAACACCTCACGTAAGTAGTGCTCTCTAGAACACCTCAGGTAAGTAGTGCTCTTTAGAACACCTCACATAAGTAGTGCTCTTTAGAACACCTCACGTAAGTAGTGCTCTCTAGAACACCTCACGTACGACTCTCAAGCTGGTGAGTTGTTGTATAAATGTTACAAACTAAATAGTAGTTTTGTAGGCGAAATAAGCAATGTAATGGCTTGATCTAATCTGAGCTCTCATCTGAACATGAATAAAAAGGCAACTTCAATTTCAGGAGACAGGGCAAGATGGGCCTAACAATGATCACTGCAGGGAATGCATTCTAAGGGATGACAGTGGGCAGCAGTGTTTCTAAGGGATGACAGTGCGCAGCAGTGTTTCTAAGGGATGACAGTGTGCAGCAGTGTTTCTAAGGGATGACAGTGCGCAGCAGTGTTTCTAAGGGATGACAGTGTGCAGCAGTGTTTCTAAGGGATGATAGTATGCAGCAGTGTTTCTAAGGGATGACAGTGTGCAGCAGTGTTTCTTAGGGATGACAATGTGCAGCAGTGTTTCTAAGGGATGACAGTGTGCAGCAGTGTTTCTAAGGGATGACAGTGGGCAGCAGTGTTTCTAAGGGATGACAGTGCGCAGCAGTGTTTCTAAGGGATGACAGTGTGCAGCAGTGTTTCTAAGGGATGACAGTGTGCAGCAGTGTTTCTAAGGGATGACAGTGGGCAGCAGTGTTTCTAAGGGATGACAGTGCGCAGCAGTGTTTCTAAGGGATGACAGTGTGCAGCAGTGTTTCTAAGGGATGACAGTGTGCAGCAGTGTTTCTAAGGGATGACAGTATGAAGCAGTGTTTCTAAGGGATGACAGTGTGCAGCAGTGTTTCTAAGGGATGACAGTGTGCAGCAGTGTTTCTAAGGGATGACAGTGTGCAGCAGTGTTTCTAAGGGATGACAGTGTGCAGCAGTGTTTCTAAGGGATGACAGTGTGCAGCAGTGTTTCTAAGGGATGACAGTGTGCAGCAGTGTTTCTAAGGGATGACAGTGTGCAGCAGTGTTTCTAAGGGATGACAGTGCGCAGCAGTGTTTCTAAGGGATGACAGTGTGCAGCAGTGTTTCTAAGGGATGACAGTGTGCAGCAGTGTTTCTAAGGGATGACAGTGTGCAGCAGTGTTTCTAAGGGATGACAGTGTGCAGCAGTGTTTCTAAGGGATGACAGTGTGCAGCAGTGTTCCTTAGGGATGACAATGTGTAGCAGTGTTTCTAAGGGATGACAGTGTGCAGCAGTGTTTCTTAGGGATGACAATGTGCAGCAGTGTTTCTAAGGGATGACAGTGTGCAGCAGTGTTTCTAAGGGATGACAGTGTGCAGCAGTGTTTCTAAGGGATGACAGTGTGCAGCAGTGTTTCTAAGGGATGACATTGTGCAGCAGTGTTTCTAAGGGATGACAGTATGCAGCAGTGTTTCTAAGGGATGACAGTGTGCAGCAGTGTTTCTAAGGGATGACAGTGCGCAGCAGTGTTTCTAAGGGATGACAGTGTGCAGCAGTGTTTCTAAGGGATGACAGTGCGCAGCAGTGTTTCTAAGGGATGACAGTGCGCAGCAGTGTTTCTAAGGGATGACAGTGTGCAGCAGTGTTTCTAAGGGATGACAGTGTGCAGCAGTGTTCCTTAGGGATGACAATGTGCAGCAGTGTTTCTAAGGGATGACAGTGTGCAGCAGTGTTTCTTAGGGATGACAATGTGCAGCAGTGTTTCTAAGGGATGACAGTGTGCAGCAGTGTTTCTAAGGGATGACAGTGTGCAGCAGTGTTTCTAAGGATGACAGTGTGCAGCAGTGTTTCTAAGGGATGACAGTGTGCAGCAGTGTTTTCTAAGGGATGACAGTGTGCAGCAGTGTTTCTAAGGGATGACAGTGTGCAGCAGTGTTTAAGGGATGACAGTTTGCAGCAGTGTTTCTAAGGGATGACAGTGTGCAGCAGTGTTTCTAAGGGATGACAGTGTGCAGCAGTGTTTCTAAGGGATGACAGTGTGCAGCAGTGTTTCTAATGGATGACAGTGTGCAGCAGTGTTTCTAAGGGATGACAGTGTGCAGCAGTGTTTCTAAGGGATGGACAGTGCGCAGCAGTGTTTCTAATGGATGACAGTGTGCAGCAGTGTTTCTAAGGGATGACAGTGTGCAGCAGTGTTTTCTAAGGGATGACAGTGGGCAGCAGTGTTTTCTAAGGGATGACAGTGTGCAGCAGTGTTTCCTAAGGGATGACAGTGTGCAGCAGTGTTTCTAAGGGATGACAGGGTGCAGCAGTGTTTCTAAGGGATGACGTGTGCAGCAGTGTTTCTAAGGGATGACAGTGTGCAGCAGTGTTTCTAAGGGATGACAGTGTGCAGCAGTGTTTCTAAGGGATGACAGTGTGCAGCAGTGTTTCTAAGGGATGACAGTGCGCAGCAGTGTTTCTAATTGATGACAGTGTGCAGCAGTGTTCCTAAGGGATGACAGTGTGCAGCAGTGTTTCTAAGGGATGACAGTGTGCAGCAGTGTTTCTAAGGGATGACAGTGTACAGCAGTGTTTCTAAGGGATGACAGTGTGCAGCAGTGTTTCTAAGGGATGACAGTGTGCATTGTCGCCACATTTTGTAAACATTATGGATTGTTGCTTTCATCCTACAGAAAGCCAGGAGACATCAACCATTGTTATGACATTTCCTGTTGCAGGCAAGAGGAAAATCTAAGGCCTTTTCTACAAAGACAACCACTGTTTGTACCCTAGCTGAGCAGATTCAGCATTCTGTCGAAGAGGACAACCATTCACAATCTCTGTTTGATAGACAAGATTTTATTAAATTTTTTCTTGATTTCCTTTTCTAGGCTGTATGTCCAGGATTCCCCACAGTCAGTGAAAAGATGCCCCTGGATAAAAACAAAACAGCAGCTTTTAGATCAGGGACCCCAAAAATCGGAGGGGGCACAAGTTAGCTGAGGATGGCTGGGGGGTGGTCCAGAGGGGGGCTAGGCCCGTAAATTTGAGAATATTTGAAAACCTGAAACAGCGTATTTTTTCAATCTAGAGCCATTATGATTATGGTCCTCTGTAGCTCAATTGGTAGAGCATGGTGCTTGTAACGCCAGGGTAGTGGGTTCGATCCCCGGGACCACCCATATGTAAAAATGTATGCACACATGACTGTAAGTCGCTTTGGATAAAAGCGTCTGCTAAATGGCATATTATTATTATTATTCAATGTAAAAAAATAATAAAAAAAAATAACTTGTGGTTCTGTTTTCCCTCTTTTTTTTTTTTTAAGAAACAAAATATGCTTCTCTGCATCTCTGCTAAAATCTGGGTAAAAGATTGAAAGGAATGTGAGTCTTTTTCACTGCATTTAGTTATTACTTGCTTTTCTAAAGTCGACCAACCTTGCCAGCTGGCACACCAGCTAAGATAGTTTGACAAGCTAGCTACTCTAACTTTGATTGATAGCCTGAAATGGCTTCTTGGAAGCTAGTTATGAGGTTGGGATATTGGGAACCTATCTGGGCTAGCTAAAGCTAACTTCGTAAAATTGCTAGGTGGCTAGTAGTTTTACAGAGAAGAAAAAACATAAAATCAGAGAGGGCATGTGCCCCCTATGGGCATGAGGCCTCTGGCAGCGATCTCTGACATTCAGTTAATCTCTGGAGTTTTTAGAAACAGACCTATTCCCTTTAGAGAGCTTCATTAAAAAGTCATTCCGCAAAGCACTTGTAGCATAAAAGGGCAAGGAATTCACTCATCGTTGGAACAAATGCTCAGAGGATCTGTGAACTGTTTGAGTGGCATTTGATAGCTGTGTTTTCTTTAACCACTTAAATGTAGGGTCCCCTAAATAGGGGACCGTCAATAAAAATTGTATTCAATGTCATCTAAAGTGAGAACGGTAGCCCCAATCCATAAATACAGGTTGTCTCCTAAAAAATGGAGATCTTGGCTTTCCAGCCGTATCATACAATCTTCGGCGGGACTTAGTACCATATATGGGCATACAGCCATAAAAGGGCAGATCACTCCCATGAGCCCATTTCAAGATGGCTGTGACTCAAGGTCTGTTAGTGTGGAGAAGCTAAAAACTACTATAAATGCAACATGTAAAGTGTTGGTCCCATGTTTCATGAGCTGAAATAAAAGATCCAAAAAATTTTCCATACGCACAATAAGCTTATTTCTCTAAAATGTTGAGAACAAATTTGTTTACATCCCTGTTAGTGATAATCCACCTGCCAGGTGTGGCATGTAAAGAAGCTGATTAAACAGCATGATCATTACACAGGTGCACCTTGTGCTGGGGACAATAAAAGGCCACTCTAAAATGTGCAGTTTTGTCACACAACACAATGCCACAGATGTCTAAGGTTTTGAGGGAGTGTGCAATTGGCATGCTGACTGCAGGAATGTCCACCAGAGCTGTTGCCTGATAATTCAATGTTAATTTCTCTACCATAAGCTGCCTCCAACGTCGTTTTAGAGAATTTGGCAGTACGTCCAACCGGCCTCACAACCGCAGACCGTGTATGGTGTTGTGTGGGCGAGCCGTTTGCTGATGTCAACGTTGTGAACAGAGTGCCCCATGGTGATGGTGGGGTTATAGTATGGGCAGGCATAAGCTACGGATAATGAACACAATTGCATTTTATCAATGGCAATTTGAATGCAGAGAGATATCGTGACGAGATCCTGAGGCCCATTGTCGTGCCATTCATCCGCCGCCATCACCTCATGTTTCAGCATGATAATGCATGGCCCCCATGTCGCAAGGATCTGTACACAATTCCTGGAAGTTGAAAATGTCCCAGTTCTTCCATGGCCTGCATACTCACCAGACATTTCACCCATTGAGCACGTTTGGGATGCTCTGGATAGATACAGTGGAGGGAAAAAGTATTTAGTCAGCCACCAATTGTGCAAGTTCTCCCACTTAAAAAGATGAGAGAGGCCTGTAATTTTCATCATAGGTACACGTCAACTATGACAGACAAAATGAGAAAAAAAATTCCTGAAAATCACATTGTAGGATTTTTAATGAATTTATTTGCAAATTATGGTGGAAAATAAGTATTTGGTCATTAACAAAAGTTTCTCAACACTCTGTTATATACCCTTTATTGGCAATGACACAGGTCAAACGTTTTCTGTAAGTCTTCACAAGGTTTTCACACACTGTTGCTGGTATTTTGGCCCATTCCTCCATGCAAATCTCCTCTAAAGCAGTGATGTTTTGGGGCTGTCGCTGGGCAACACAGACTTTCAACTCCCTCCAAAGATGTTCTATGGGGTTGAGATCTGGAGACTGGCTAGGCCACTCCAGGACCTTGAAATGCTTCTTACGAAGCCACTCCTTCATTGCCCGGGCGGTGTGTTTGGGATCATTGTCATGCTGAAAGACCCAGCCACGTTTCATCTTCAATGCCCTTGCTGATGGAAGGAGGTTTTCACTCAAAATCTCACGATACATGGCCCCATTCATTCTTTCCTTTACACGGATCAGTCGTCCTGGTCCCTTTGCAGAAAAACAGCCCCAAAGCATGATGTTTCCACCCCCATGCTTCACAGTAGGTATGGTGTTCTTTGGATGCAACTCAGCATTATTTGTCCTCCAAACACGACGAGTTGAGTTTTTACCAAAAAGTTCTATTTTGGTTTCATCTGACCATATGACATTCTCCCAATCCTCTTCTGGATCATCTAAATGCACTCTAGCAAACTTCAGACGGGCCTGGACATGTACTGGCTTAAGCAGGGGGACACGTCTGGCACTGCAGGATTTCAGTCCCTGGCGGCGTAGTGTGTTACTGATGGTAGGCTTCGTTACTTTGGTCCCAGCTCTCTGCAGGTCATTCACTAGGTCCCCCCGTGTGGTTCTGGGATTTTTGCTCACCGTTCTTGTGATCATTTTGACCCCACGGGGTGAGATCTTGCGTGGAGCCCCAGATCGAGGGAGATTATCAGTGGTCTTGTATGTCTTCCATTTCCTAATAATTGCTCCCACAGTTGATTTCTTCAAACCAAGCTGCTTACCTATTGCAGATTCAGTCTTCCCAGCCTGGTGCAGGTCTACAATTTTGTTTCTGGTGTCCTTTGACAGCTCTTTGGTCTTGGCCATAGTGGAGTTTGGAGTGTGACTGTTTGAGGTTGTGGACAGGTGTCTTTTATACTGATAACAAGTGCAAACAGGTGCCATTAATACAGGTAACGATTGGAGGATAGAGGAGCCTCTTAAAGAAGAAGTTACAGGTCTGTGAGAGCCAGAAATCTTGCTTGTTTGTAGGTGACCAAATACTTATTTTCCACCATAATTTGCAAATAAATTCATTAAATTTCAAAATTCAAAAAATCTCAATTTGTCTGTCATAGTTGACGTGTACCTATGATGAAAATTACAGGCCTCTCTCATCTTTTTAAGTGGGAGAACTTGCACAATTGGTGGCTGACTAAATACTTTTTTCCCCCACTGTATGTACGACAGCGTGTTCCAGTTCCCGCCAATATCCAGCAACTTAGCACATCCCATTGAAGAGGAGTGGGAAAACATTCCACAGGCTACAATCAACAGCCTGATCAACTCTATGCGAAGGAGATGTGTCGCGCTGCATGAGGCAAATAGTGGTCACACCAGATACTGACTGGTTTTCTGATCCACGCCCCTACCTTTTTCTTTTCAAGGTATCTGTGATCAACAGATGCATACCTATATTCCCAGTCATGTGAAATCCATAGATTAAGGCCTAATGAATTTATTTCAATTGACTGATTTCCTGATACATGTATGTACTGTAACTCAGTAAAATCTTTGTAATTGTTGCGTGTTGCGTTTTATATTTCTGTTCAGTTCATATAAATATAGAAAAACGTTGATATGTGGTGAAAGGGAAGACTCCACAGATGATAAGGATATGTGTTATTACTCGGCCTGTGACCTGCCATTATCGATTCACAGCCCAGAGAGTCAAGAAGTTAATTTTATACTTGAATCTTTAGGTTCGTAGCCTACTGTCAATGTTCTCTGATAACATATGACTGAATTAGAACATCAAATGTCTACCCAAATGCGACATCTTTATGCCGTTTTTATCTTTAGACCTGTGGTTTAGGGTTAGACTGGGAGCGGGCAAAATGATGAAAGATGGACAGTTGTGTTGCCAAAGCTTTACAGTCAGATCAGATGACCTGGGTGGGACGGTGTAGGACCTGAGTAGGGCTTTTGCGTAATGTTGCCCATTTGCTACTGGCATTGAGAAAGGATACACTCAGAACACACAGAGCGCATCGTAGTATTTTGCATCATAGTATTTTGCATCATAGTATTTTGCATCATAGTATTTTGCATCATAGTATTTTGAACGGATTCTTTAATCACTTTGGCTTAAAAATTGCTTGTAATAAGAAAAACCAAGCAAACTACCCAACAAGGGGGTAAAAAGATGACAAAAGGTGAGAACGAGTCTTTGGAGGAAATGCAGACACAGATGCTGGGAGTGATCTTGGTCCAAGATGACTCGGGCGGAGAAAAAATGTTTTCCAGAACAATTAGATTCCGTTTTAGATCTGTAAGTAAATTATTTTGTAGTAAACTTTCTATAGTTTACTTAGTATGTCTTATATAGTTGTGGTCTGCTTCTTTGTGTTTTGTATTACCAGTATAGCGGTGTCCTGTCCTGTCTATCAGGTGTCCTGTCCTGTCTAACAGGGGTCCTGTCCTGTCCTGTCTAACAGGGGTCCTGTCTATCAGGTGTCCTGTCCTGTCTGTCAGGTGTCCTGTCTATCAGGTGTCCTGTCCTGTCTATCAGGTGTCCTGTCTATCAGGTGTCCTGTCTATCAGGTGTCCTGTCCTGTCTATCAGGGGTCCTGTCTATCAGGTGTCCTGTCTATCAGGTGTCCTGTCTATCAGGTGTCCTGTCTATCAGGTGTCCTGTCTATCAGGTGTCCTGTCTATCAGGTGTCCTGTCTATCAGGTGTCCTGTCTATCAGGTGTCCTGTCTATCAGGTGTCCTGTCCTGTCTAACAGGTGTCCTGTCTATCAGGTGTCCTGTCCTGTCTAACAGGTGTCCTGTCTAACAGGTGTCCTGTCTATCAGGTGTCCTGTCCTGTCTATCAGGTGTCCTGTCTATCAGGTGTCCTGTCCTGTCTATCAGGTGTCCTGTCCTGTCCTGTCTATCAGGTGTCCTGTCTATCAGGTGTCCTGTCCTGTCTATCAGGTGTCCTGTCCTGTCTATCAGGTGTCCTGTCTGTCAGGTGTCCTGTCCTGTCTATCAGGTGTCCTGTCTATCAGGTGTCCTGTCCTGCGTAGCCGACATCCTGTCTGTTATTCCACAGTAGTTACATATTATTATGTTATTATCATTATATTGTATATATTGTATATATTGTATATATTTCACATTAGTTTGCTGTAAAAGTTGTATATATTCTGTGCAACTTTGGAGAGGCCACCAAATTCTCATGGCCATTTTGACTTTGTCTCTGAAGGTAGGCTACCTGTGTCCCACTGTTTTTATTGTATAGGGTAGTATATTGGTTTTACATTCCAGTAATGTTGTTTTGTCACAGTGTTTGTGTTTTGGACTGCATGTGTAGCTTACACCCAATGTTCCCTCAAAAGAAATTCGGCACTAAACAAATTTTAGGTCTGCTGAGTGCAAACTTGAACATTGTGAAAATCCTGTGCAACTTCCAGCTGTAACGACAGACGCTGGGAGACGGGGGTGAGGATTTAATAATAAAATAGACAAGAAACGAAGCGAGAACAGCGTCTGGAGGAGAGAAACAAAACAACACCGATGCCGACACGGGGCTAAAACAGAGGAGCAGACAGCTGCAGGGGAGGTAATAAAGCAGTGGTGAGTCCAATGAAGCGCTGATCAGCGTAACGATGGTGACAGGTTAGCGTAATGATGGGCAGCCTGGCGCCCTCGAGCGCCAGGGAGGGGGAGCGGGGGCAGGTGTGACACCAACGTGCGTTTACTGTGAACACTGAGGCTGTACCCGCTTTAAGTTACAGTTTTAACAGTGGCCAAGTAGGCCTACCAGAGTGGCCTACCATCAAAAACAATGGAGAAAATGCATCCCATAATAGTTATATCGTTCAGCCTAGAGTCCATGAGACTGGTCACCTCTCCTCCCGTTGCTCCCCTCCGGCGCTCTGATTCGCCGGTCTACTGAGCCACCGGTCTGAGCGCACCACCTCGGCAACACCGGAATGGAAACTTAACGCACCCTGATCACCTCCAGCGCACCTGCACCTCATCATCTCATCACCAGCCCTATATAGCCCAGGACTGTTCAGTGTTGTGTTGTGTGTGATTGTTAGTGTCATGTCGTGTTGTTCTCTTGCTCAGTGTTAAGTAAACCTTTACATTGTTGATTTCTGAGTCCTGCCTCTTCGTATCCTCAGTACTCGTCACAAAAAAAAAACATTTAAGGCTTGACATTAACCTGTTTATCCACTTGTCCTTCAGACAAGGAGGTAACTGAAAATATTGTTGTTGTGTTTGATGCAAGAAACCGCTTTACAAAATAAAATGCATTACCATTATTATCCTCTGCCTATTGGCTACTATTGGCTGAGCGGCAGTCCCGTTGAGCCGAGCGGCAGTCCCGTTGAGCCGAGCGGCAGTCCCGTTGAGCCGAGCGGCAGTCCCGTTGAGCTGAGCGGCAGTCCCGTTGAGCTGAGCGGCAGTCCCGTTGAGCTGTGTGGCAGTCTCGGGGAGCTGAGCGGCAGTCTCGGGGAGCTGAGCGGCAGTCTCGGGGAGCTGAGCGGCAGTCTCGGGGAGCTGAGCGGCAGTCCCGTTGAGCTGAGCGGCAGTCCCGTTGAGCTGAGCAGCAGTCTCGGGGAGCTGAGCGGCAGTCCCGTTGAGCTGAGCGGCAGTCCCGTTGAGCTGTGCGGCAGTCTCGGGGAGCTGAGCGGCAGTCTCGGGGAGCTGAGCGGCAGTCCCGTTGAGCTGAGCGGCAGTCTCGGGAAGCTGAGCGGCAGTCTCGGGGAGCTGAGCGGCAGTCTCGGGGAGCTGTGCGGCAGTCTCGGGGAGCTGAGCGGCAGTCTCGGGGAGCTGAGCGGCAGTCCCGTTGAGCTGAGCGGCAGTCTCGGGGAGCTGAGCGGCAGTCCCGTTGAGCTGAGCGGCAGTCTCGGGGAGCTGAGCGGCAGTCCCGTTGAGCTGAGCGGCAGTCCCGTTGAGCTGTGCGGCAGTCTCGGGGAGCTGAGCGGCAGTCTCGGGGAGCTGAGCGGCAGTCCCGTTGAGCTGAGCGGCAGTCTCGGGGAGCTGAGCGGCAGTCTCGGGGAGCTGAGCGGCAGTCTCGGGGAGCTGTGCGGCAGTCTCGGGGAGCTGAGCGGCAGTCTCGGGGAGCTGAGCGGCAGTCCCGTTGAGCTGAGCGGCAGTCTCGGGGAGCTGAGCGGCAGTCCCGTTGAGCTGAGCGGCAGTCCCATTGAGCTGAGCGGCAGTATCGGGGAGCCGAGCGGCAGTCCTGATGGAGCTGTTCACAGTTTAGAGGGAACATTGCTTACACTAGTATAGGCCTATGTAACTGTGTCCTGTTTGTGCAAATTTTTCAAATTAGTTTTCCACTGGGAGGTATAAGCATGGGTGAGCAACAATAACACATTATTTCTACAAAAATACTCCTCAGCAACCCCCCCTGCGTACACCAGGAGGCCATCAACCTCCTGTGGCCATTCCTCCTTGGTCTCTAATGTATCCCACTGTCTGCATCATGTGTGTGTGTTTCATATCTCAGTGTGTGTGTGTGTGTGTGTGTGTTTGTGTGTGTGTGTGTGTGTGTGTGTGTGTGTGTGTTTCACACCTCTGTGTGTGGCACTCTCCAGACAGTGTCCAAATAATCTTATTCATTATGATCTAAAAAAGCCAAACTGATCCCAGATCCCAGCACTCTTACTCAGAGAGGCTTTGTGGACAGAGGTGAGCTTTGCTGCTCTCTCACCTGGCCAGGTGTGATGGGCCAGTCTACAATCCCCCTGGCCTGCTATGTCCAGTGGGGAGGGGAAACTACTGAAGGAGTTAGACATGTAGAGAGTTAGTCTGAGAAAGGGCTGTGAGATGCTGAAAGTCACTAACAAAGTTTAGCCTGGGTGTTATCTTCTAGTATATTGCCTTTCCATTCCAGTAATGTCAAATCAAATCAAATCAAATTTTATTTGCCACATGCGCCGAATACAACATGTGTAGACATTAACGTGAAATGCTTACTTACAGCCCTTAACCAACAATGCATTTATTTTTTAGTAAAATAAAACAACAACAACAAAAAAAGTGTTGAGAAAAAAAGAGCAGAAGTAAAATAAAATAACAGTAGGGAGGCTATATATACAGGGGGGTACCGGTGCAGAGTCAATGTGCGGGGTCACCGGCTAGTTGAGGTAATATGTACATGTGGGTAGAGTTAAAGTGACTATGCATAAATAATTAACAGAGTAGCAGCAGCGTAAAAAGGATGGGGTGGGGGGGCAGTGCAAATAGTCAGGGTAGCCATCATTAGCTGTTCAGGAGTCTTATGGCTTGGGGGTAGAAGCTGTTGAGAAGTCTTTTGGACCTAGACTTGCTCCGGTACCGCTTGTCGTGCGGTAGCAGAGAGAACAGTCTATGACTAGGGTGGCTGGAGTCTTTGACAATTTTGAGGGCCTTCCTCTGACACCGCCTGGTATAGAGGTCCTGGATGCAAATTGGAGTGGGTCTAGGGTTTCTGGGATAATGGTGTTGAAGTGAGCCATGACCAGCCTTTCAAAGAACTTCATGGCTACAGACGTCAGTACTACAGGTCGGTAGTCATTTAGGCAGGTTATCTTAGTGTCCTTGGGCACGGGGACTATGGTGGTCTGCTTGAAACAAGTAGTTCATAAAATGAGTCAACTGTAATGATGTGTATCTTCCAGCAATATTGATCCCTCTATATTCCTTTATGTTATTCCCCACAGAAAGGATGATGACCTTTGGGAGCAAACCACCCCCCAGCAAGCGCCCCCGCCAGTCAAGGTCTTCACCCTCCCCTGCCAGATCCACTACCCCCACTGCTGTCTCTAATGCTGTCTCTACTGATGGTTCCAGCTCCACCACTCCACAAGGGCCTCACTCCTCTTCCACTATGCCCACTGCTGGCCCTGGCTCCACTCCCCTCACAGCCAGTTCTTCTAGAGGTGGACACCTAGACTTCAACAGAGAAGAGGGAGGAGCAGAGGTAGGGGCACTGGAACCAGCACAACAGAGGGAGATGAACCTGAGGACAGATGGCATACAGTCATTGAAGATGGTGTGGGGCCAGTACCACCCTGGTTCAGACCCAAACGACCTGTCGGCCCACAGTTGGACGGTACTCAAACATACATCTTCTTTCAGCTGTTTCAGCTCTACTTCACCACATCTGTGCTGGGGACACTAGTTTCCAATAGCAACAAGTTTGAGGACAAGAAGCAGCATGGGGGAAGAAGAAGATGCACTGGAAACATGTCACCATGGGCAACACGCTCTCGTACATTTCCCTGGTGATGTACATGGGACTGGCGAAGGTGTCAAGACTAGTTGACTAGCGGAGCAAGTCCCCGCTCTACCGATGAAAGTTCCCTGCCTCCATCATGAGTGAAAACCGTTTCTTGGCCATCAACAGTACTCTTCACAAATCAAATCAAATCAAATGTTATTTGTCACATACACGTGTTTAGCAGATGTTATTGCGGGTGTAGCGAAATGCTTGTGCTTCTAGCTCCGACAGTGCAGTAATATCTAACAAGTAATATCTAACAATTTCACAACATATACCCTATACACAAATCTAGTAAGGAATGGAATTTTAGACTATATACATACATGGACAAGCAATGGCAGAGCGGCATGGACATACATATGAGATGAGTAGTGCAAGATATGTAAACATTATTAAAGTGACTAGTGTTCCATTTCTTAAAGTGGCCAGTGATTTCAATAGGCAGCAGCAGCCTCTAATGTGCTAGTGATGGCTATTTAACAGTCTGATGGCCTTGAGATAGAAGCTGTTTTTCATTCTCTCGGTCCCAGCTTTGATGCACCTGTACTAATCTCGCTTTTTGGATGATAGCGGGGTGAACAAGCAGTGGCTCGGGTGGCTGATGTCCTTGATTATCTTTTTGGCCTTCCTGTGACATCGGCTGCTGTAGGTGTCTTGGAGGGCGGGTAGTTTGCCGCTGGTAATGTGTTTGGCAGACCGCACCACCCTCTGGAGAGCCCTGTGGTTGCAGGCGATGCAGTTGATACAGCCCGACAGTATGCACTCATTTGTGGATCTGTAAAAGTTTGTGAGGGTTTTAGGTGCCAAGCCAAATTTCTTCAGCCTCCTGAGGTTGAAGAGGCTCTGTTGCGCCTTCTTCACCACACTGTCTGCGTGGGTGGACCATTTCAGTTTGTCTGTGATGTGTACGCCAAGGAACTTGAAGCTTTCCACCTTCTCCACTGCGGTCCCGTCAATGTGGATAGGGAGGTGCACCCTCTGCTGTTTCCTGAAGTCCACGATCATCTCTTTGTTTTGTTGACGTTGAGTGAGAGGCTATTTTCCTGGCACCACACTCCCAGAGCCCTCACCTCCTCCCTGTAGGCGGTCTCGTCATTGTTGGTAATCAGGCCTACTACTGTTGTGTCGTCTGCAAACTTGATGATTGAGTTGGAGGCGTGCTTGGCCACGCAGTCATGGGTGAACAGGGAGTACAGGAGGGGGCTGAGCACACACCCTTGTGGGGCCCCAGTGTTGAGGATCAACAAAGTGGAGTTTCCTACCTTCACCACCTGGGGGCGGCCCGTCAGGAAGTCCAGGACCCAGTTGCACAGGGTGGGGTTCAGACCCAGGGCCTCGAGTTTAATGATGAGCTCGGAGGGTACTATGGTGTTGAATACTGAGCTATAGTCAATGAACAGCATTCTTACATAGATATTCCTCTTGTCAAGATGGGATAGGGCAGTGTGATGGCGATTGCATCGTCTGTGGATCTATTGGGGCGGTAAGCAAATTGAAGTGGGTCTAGGGTGACAGGTAAGGCAGAGGTGATATGATCCTTGACTAGTCTCTTAAAGCACTTCATGATGACAGAGGTGAGTGCTACGGGGCGATAGTCATTTAGTTCAGTTACCTTTGCTTTCTTGGGGACAGGAACAATGGTGGCCATCTTGAAGCATGTGGGAACAGCAGACTGGGAAAGGGAGAGATTGAATATGTCCGTAAACACACCAGCCAGCTGGTATGCGTATGCTCTGAGGACGCGGCTAGGGATGCCATCTGGGCCGGCAGCCTTGCGGGTTTTAACATGCTTAAATGTCTTAATCACGTCGGCCACGGAGAAGGAGAGGCCACAGTCCTTGGTAGTGGGCCTCGTCGATGGCACTGTGTTATCCTCAAAGCGGGCAAAGAAGGTGTTTAGCTTGTCTGGAACCGAGACGTCGGTGTCGGCGACATGGCTGGTTTTCCTTTTGTAGTCCGTGATTGTCTGTAGAACCTGCCACATACTTCTCGTGTCTGAGCTGTTGAATTCCGACTTCACTTTGTCTCTATACTGATGTTTTGCCAGTTTAATTGCCTTGCGGAGTGAGTAGCTACGCTGTTTATATTCTGCCATATTCCCAGTCACCTTGCCATGGTTAAATGCGGTGGTTCGCGCTTTCAATTTTGCGCGAATGCTGCCGTCTATCCATGGTTTCTGGTTAGGGTAGGTTTTAATTGTCACAGTTGGCACAACATCACCTATACACTTCCTGATAAACTCAGTCACCGTTTCAGTGTATTCGTCTAAATTATTTTCGCAAGCTACCCGGAACACATCCCAGTCCGCGTGATCAAAACAATCTTGAAGTGTGGATTCCGATTGGTCAGACCAGCGTTGAAAAGTCCTTAGCACGGGTACTTCCTGTTTGAGTTTCTGCCTATAGGATTGGAGGAGCAAAATGGAGTCGTGGTCAGATTTGCCGAAAGGAGGGCGGGGGAGGGCCTTATAACCATCCCGGAAGTTCGAATAGCAATGGTTGAGGATTTTAGCAGCGCGAGTACAACAGTCGATATGTTAATAGAACTTCGGCAGCCTAGTCCTCAAATTTGCTTTGTTAAAATCCCCGGCTACAATAAATGCAGCCTCAGGATACGTTGTTTCCAGTTTACATATAATGACTTACAGTCATGTGTGCATACATAAAGTCCTGTGTAGTTATTTGAGTGCCGTCGTGGTATCGGCTTGAGGGGGGATATACACGGCCGTGACTATAACCAAAGATAATTATCTTGGGAGATAATACGGTCGGCATTTGATTGTGAGGTATTCTAGGTCGGGTGAACAGAAGGACTTGAGTTCCTGTATGTTACTACAATTACACCATGAGTCGTTAATCATGAAACACACACCTCCGCCATTCTGCTTCCCGGAGAGATATTTATTCCTGTCTGTGTGATGAACTGAGTACCCATCTGGCTGGATCGATTTCGACAGAATATCCCCAGAGTGCCATGTTTCCATGAAACAGAGTATGTTACAAGCCTTGATGTCTCTCTGGAAAGAAATCTTTAACCAGAGACTGAACATTAGCGAGTAGTATACTTGGAAGCGTTGGGTGGTGTGTGCGCCTCCTAAGTCGACCCAGCAGGCCGCTCCGAGTGCCTCTCCTCCGCCGGCGATGTTTTGGGTCAGCCGCTGGAATCAGTAGAATTGCCCTGGGGAGAGCAAACAAAGGATCTGCTTCGGGAAAGTCGTATTCCTGGTCGTGATGCTGGTGTGTTACCGCCGCTCTGATATCCAATAGTTTTTCCCAGCTGTATATAATGATACAAAACACTTTCTGAGCTAATAATGTAAAAAAATTATACATAAAAAAACAAAATACTGCAAAGTTTCCTAAGAGCTAGTCGCGAGGCCACCATCCTCGTTGGCGTCAGGTTCCCTCACATGAGTGAGTTTCTTGGCCATCAACAGTACTCTTCACATGAGTGAGTTTCTTGGTCATCAACAGTCCTCTTCACATGAGTGAGTTTCTTGGCCATCAACAGTACTCTTCACATGAGTGAGTTTCTTGGCCATCAACAGTACTCTTCACATGAGTGAATTTCTTGGCCATCAACAGTTTCTGGATGTCCCCTGACACCACCACATTGTTTGAGGTTGATATTGTACAAATTGTGTTCTTATAGTGACAATATATTTTAGGCTCATTCAATGTGCAAAAGCAGTGGAATTACCTCATCTATATACTTTGGACACTTTGGAGAGGTTGAGGGGACACGTGGCGATGTACCTGACACCCCTTACTAAAAACATCTGTAAAGTTCTAGCTGTTTCCTCAGAAACAGAAGCCATCTGATGTGTTTCCAGCTCTTTTAATCAATAAATGACTTATAGCTTGTCCATTAAAGATTACTGAAAAAATAGTAAAATATGCTTGATCTTCTGTGATCTGAACTGTGCCATTCCTATCTATGTTCTGATAATCTCCCAGGTGTTTTTTCCCTTATTGATACCTAGTTTATGCATGTCCTTATCAGTGACTTTTGTCTATTGAGGCGGAAATCGAAATGTTTTGCCATTTTTGCCATTGTTTATCTATGAGATTAGGCTTAGATATACAGTCTATCATCATCCATGTATTGTTTTATGAGATTAAATATACATGTCATTGTTTTAAATGAGATTAAACGGGGGGGGGGGGGGTTCTACTAAGCGATATGGAATTGTTTTAAGAAGGTCATACCAAGAATCATTTGATTTTGAAGTTTAAGACCCCTTGAAGATATAAAAAAATATATTTGTTGAACAATTATGCTATTAGCCCATACAAACGCATTGAATAACACATTAATTACATGGAACAACAGATAGTCCCCAAAAAAATCTAAAGGAAGTTTGTTCTGAAGTTTCTGTCCTATATCTGAGAGATGTAAAGAAGATCAGGAAACATTTGTATATATATATTTTTATTTAACCCCTTATTTTTGGGCACTAAACAGTCTAAGACCTGTCTAAGCCGAGGGAGGGATTATATTAAGCAATATGGAATTGTTTTAAGAATGGCATACCAAGGATCATTTTGCTATTTGATTTAGAATTTTAAGACCCCTTGAATTATAAAAAAATACAAATAATTATTTGATGAAAATGTTTATTTGGCCTTACTGCTATTAGCCCATACAAACAGATTCACTACATGGAACAATAGATAGTCCCCCCAAAAAATCTAAAGGAAGTTTGTTCTGAAGTCTCTGAGAGATATAAGAAAGATCATATATATATATATATATATATATATATATATATATATATATATATATATATATATATACAGTGGGGAGAACAAGTATTTGATACACTGCCGATTTTGCAGGTTTTCCTACTTACAAAGCATGTAGAGGTCTGTAATTTTTATCACAGGTACACTTCAACTGTGAGAGACGGAATCTGAAACAAAAATTCAGAAAATCACATTGTATGATTTTTAAGTAATTAATTTGCATTTTATTGCATGACATAAGTATTTGAATCAGAAAAGCA